ATCAAATAAATGTAATACAGTTAATCAGGTTTGGGAGGATGAAATTGAACATAAATTTTCATCATTATTTACTAAGAAGTTAGGTTTACTGAAAGATTTTAAAGCAAATCTATCGGTAAAACATAAGTATCCTTTACCCAGAATTAATAAATTATTAGCCACACTAGGTAATGGATCCAAATATACGGTATTAGATTTATCCGAAGCATATTTTTAAATAGAGCTAGATGACGAGGCAAATAAGCTGTTAGTGATCAACACGCCGAATGAATTGTATCGCTTTACACGACTTCCGTTCGGGGTAACCTCAGCACCAGCCATTTTCCAACAAGCAATATATTCTTTATTAAAAGGACTACCCGGGGTAGCGGAATATTTAGACGATATAATAATTACTGAGGAATCAATTGAGAATCATAAAAAAAATTTGATAAATGTGCTTAAGACATTAGAAACAAACGGTATGAAATTAAATTTAAAAAAATGTAACTTTTTTAAAGAAAAGATTGAATTCTTAGGTCACACCATTAGCGAAGAGGGAATCGCAACAACAAATAAAAACGTCAATGCAATTTTAGACGCACCGTTACCGAAAAACGTTAAAAAATTACAAGCTTTTATAGGTATAATTAACTATTATCAAAAATTTATAAAGAACTGTTCAACGATGTCCGCGCCATTATAGCGACTGTTACTAAAAAACGTGTCATGGAAATGGCGAATAATGAAACAATAGCAATTAATAATTTTAAAAAAATAATATCAGAAGCACCAATTTTAACTCATTATAATCCGGGAAACCCGATAATTCTAGCTGCGGATGCGTCGCAACAAGGAATAGGATCCGTTATATCTCATAAAATTAACAACTAGGAAAACCCAATTGGATTCGCGTCTCTAACATTAAATGCAGCCGAACGAAATTATAGTCAGATAGAGCGTGAAGCTTTAGCAAATTTGGACTACTAAATTTAAACAATATTTAATTGGCAACCATTTATTACAGATCATAAACCACTGATATCGTTACTCAATCCACATAAAAGAATTACAGATATGTCCTCAAGATTAGTACGGTGGTCATTATTAATAGCCAATTATGATTATGAATTGCAACTGAAAGGGACAAAAAAATAGTAATGCGGATATGCTATCCCGGTTCCCAATCGACGGTGAACCATCTACTTGGGAAGAGCTAGATATTAATTTAATAGTATCGGATGCTTCACAATTTATTTCAGCGTTAAATATAAAAGCGCATACAAGAAATGGCCCGATATTATCAAAGGTGTCACGCTACATTGCAACTGGGTGGCCGAAGATAATGGAGGAAAAGCTAAAACCGTTTTTTCCACGATGAAATGAACTCACGGTGGAAGCAGGATGTATATTATGGGGTTTAAGAACCAAATTCCAAAAAAATTACAAGTAAATATTTTGTCTTTTTTACATATGGGGCATCAGGGGTATACTAAAACAAAATTATTGGCACAAGAGAATGTTTGGTGGCCAAATATTAACGAAGATATTGAATTACACGCTTACGAATTGTGAACTATGTCAGACAAATAATCCTGGAAATAAAACAATCATAGGGAAATGGCCCTCCGCAAATAAACTATGGGGGAAAATTCATTTAGATTTTGCCGGACCCATTAACGGAGATATATATCTAGTAATAATAGATAATTTTAGTAAATGGCCTGAAATACAAAAAATATCGACTAATAATTTTACTGAAGTAAGAAAATTATTGTTAAGACTTTTTGCTATTTTTGCAGCGTCTACATGACAGGATTTTCACTGGATGCAAACCTCCTCAAAAACCTGCCTAGCCCCCCTAAAAAATTGCCGGCTTCGGCGGCGGTGTCTCCTTATTATTATTTTTACTTTTTAAATTTATTGATACTCTTTTTAGAGAATTTATAAAGGACAACTTAAATTAATCTATCTCTACTACCAACTATCGATATTTTGTGAATATAAAGAATTTATTTTTTAGATAATAAATTCAATTAAAACCTCCATTAGTTACAATTATTTAATTATTATGGCATTATGAGCTTGCTGAAATGATAGCAGAAAGTTTTATTTGGAAAACAGTGTGTATGATTGTTTGCAATATATAGATTTGGTCGATGAATTGTATTATAATAAATCTAAAAGTATTAATTTTTACAGCAATAAATTTTGTCCTATTTCATCTTAAAATTTAATAGATAACCCCCCAAAAAATTTATCTTACCATCATTAAAGCAGCCTACCCCCCCCCCCCCTCAAAAAAATAGGATGCAAACTGTTCCTACCCCTCCCGCTCATGTAGACGCTGTATTTTTGGTTACCCCAATACGATTGTTACGGATAATGGGCCCCCCTTTCAAAGTAGAGAATTCAGTTTATTTTGCAAACAATTATCAATTAGAAATGTATATAGTGCGCCGTACCACCCTAGAACTAACGGAGAAGCAGAGCGGCTAGTACAAACTTTAAAAAAAATAATAATGATTATGATAAAATACAAGATTTTTTATTTAATTATCGAAATACGCCACAAATAACCACTAAACAATCACCAAGTTAAATGATGCTTAAATTTCAACCCATAGGACCTTTACAATTAATAAAACCAATTTATCCACATCCATACATATCTCAGCTACCAGGTTTTTTGGAGAAGACATATTAATCAGTTAAAACATAGGTTCAATGATTCCGATATTAAAAAGGAGAGGAAGGAAGAGAAAGAGAACCGATACAAATAACACCTCGAATGAATGAAAGTGATCCTACACAAAACTCTATAGAAAAAGACATTGAGCCGATACATGACGTGATGGCAAAAGATATTGATCCGATCAAGACTCAATAAACAAAGATGTCATCATAAATGATAAGAGTGACATCGGCACGACTGATCAAACCGTGTTAGAGAACGAAAGTACAAGTAGCCGTTATCCAATACGAATAAGAAAACAATTTATACCGTTCCAAATCGAGAGCATAAAAAAAAGGGAGAGGATAGATGTAATATATTACTTTCAAGGCATAATAAAAAGATAAAATGGTATATTATATTCAATTAAATTAATGTATTAAAAAAATAAATAAATGTATTTTATATAAAAGGACATAAAAAAAACAAATAAAGATATTATTGGAATAAAATATATTATTAAATAGAATATTAAATATTCAGAAAAATTGTTCCAAGTTAATAAATCTTAAAAATATATTATACATTAATATAAAACCCAGCCTAAGGCTGGGCAAACGCGGGCCCATCCGCAAATTAGGGGGTATGGGGGCTAGTTGAGCCCCCTAAAATTGTAAAGGTTAGCGATGCCCCACTCCCTTAAAATAACTACTTGATTTTAATAATATTGGTACACTCTTCATATATTAAAAAAAAATAACTTAAATTATCAATATCCCATAATCAACTATCAAAAAATTGCGATTGCAAAAAAGTTAGCTTTTAGAATATGAATTAAATTAAAAACCTCCTCCTTTACATTGGATGCATTATTATAGCATTTTGTTTAACATATATATATATGAGTTAGCTAATAGAATGTCTGGAAATTATCCAGAAATGTTTTATTTGAAGAATAATGACTATGTATATTGTAGTAATATTATATTACTTTATATATTAATGGTCTTTTATTTCTATTACATATATTTATCTTTGTGGACATTGTTTGTGGCTATGAGTTTATATAATGTAAATTAGACATATTAACTTTCTTTTTAGATAATAATTTACACTAAATTGATTCAATATATATAGGACAAAATTTCAATTTATACAAATACCTTATATATAAATAAATCGTTATATAGTTGTATTACAACATATATAATATTGGTCAATATTTAGCAATCTATTTATATTATAATGGGTCTATAATTAAATTATATATTATTTTAGCAATATATTATCCAATGATAACATTCTAAAAATTATACCCTAACCCCAACCCCCTTTAAAATACTTGAATTTATTGCAAATTGTTAAAATCTACCACAACTCATGTAGACGCTGAACTTCAATGTTTGCCATAATAATAGATTATCTTTTGAAATAAAAAAAAATTTCCATTAAAATTAAAAAAAGTAAAAATTATATCAAAATGTTAAAATACTTCGGCTTGGCCAGACTCATGCACTCTTTCTGAAAATAACTTCGAGGCGCTTATTCTGGCGCAGCGCTAATTTTGTGTTAATATTTTGATAATTTTATTAAACAATTCTACAAATTGAATATTTTTTACCCAATACATAAAAACAATGCCTTTTAATTTATATAATTTTGATATTTTCATACTTAACATCCGTTTGTAACCAGCGGAAAAATCTAGGAAACCGGAGACCGTCATTTACTATTTATAGGAATCGCTGTGTCAAAGCTTAGAACCGTAGCTACAACCCCTAATTTGTACGAAATGGAAGAACCATTTTTTTAAAAAATATTCAGAACGGGAACCATTTTTAGTTCCGTAATCTAATTCCGATTAAAATTTTATAAAAACTAACGCTACGACATGTAAGGGAGTTATGAATGAGAGTTATGTTCATTCAAATAAAAAATCTAATTAAAAAACGATTAAAAGCTCTTCAATAAATATCAGCCGTTTTAAATGACCAATTATCCAGGCCGATATACTAAATATCTGTGCCCAAAATCCGAACGATTCGCGGACAATATCAGCCGCTAAAACTTGTGCAAAATATTTGCCTGAAATTTCTTTTTAATAGATAAATGCAAATTATTTATCTTTTTCTATGAAAAAAAATTATTCCGGTCCAGGTAATATATATTAAAAAAATTAATGGGCAGGGCCCAAAAACCTTTTAAAAATCTTAACTAGTCAGTTTGGGCTGATTTTTAATCTGTGCAGCCCCAAAAAGATATATGTGTTGTAATGTGAATGATTATCTATAAATGACCATTATTAAATTTCATGTTTATTTTTCCGTTTGTAATATAATTAATTCACTTCCAAAAAAACTTTATAAAGATTTAGAATTGGGTTTAAAAAAAATTGTTTTATAATGTAATTAAATACCAATAAAACATCATTTTCGGCATAATAAATAACATTATATAAATAAATAAGTTAAATTTCAGGCCATTCAAATAACGAAAATATAAATAATAATTTATTTATATCGTCATACGTAGACATACAGATAGAAAAGAAAGTCATATTAAAATAAAATTAAATGACAAAACATTTATTCTAATAAAAAAAACTTTAAAATTATTAAATATATTAGCGTTTAGATCATCAAATAGTATTTTGCTCTGAAACAATTTTTAGTAAAGTTTTAAAAACATTGATAAATAAGTTTAAGTCCATAATTAAAACTGTGTCCGAAGGTTTTTATAAATCGATAGAATTAATAAAAATGGCATAATATTTTAAATATTCGTCTTACTATCTATTATTCATTTTCTTTAAAATATCATGTATAAGTAGGAAAAAATTGTTCGGCATATTATAATAATATAAATTAAGAATCCAGCATATTTCTAATCTCCTTGTATATGAAACACAAAAAATCAACGTAGGAAGGGATATCAGCCGATATGGTAGATTGGTCTTCCAGTAACAACCTCTTGACCCAGTTAGCTTGCGGGTCCATTTCTCTTATCAACACAAGCTAAGTGGGAAATATAAATTTATAAATATTTAAAATTAAATGATTGATGATCTGAGCAATGATGTACATTATTTTTTAAACAAACAAAAAACAAAGTGAAATATAAAACATATTTATGAGGAAATATTATATTATAGATCATTCTATATTTTTTTCTTTGTATAAACATCTAAAAGATTTATATGAAAGGTCAATACCTTAGGATGTATATAACTCCTTTGTTGAAGAGTAGTGGCGATAAAATTAATTCTTAACGACAAGGCTGTATTAAGCTGTGGTAATCCCTGTACAACATTTAATAGAAATATTTTTTTAAATAAAAAAATATTATAATTTATTTTTGGCAGAGCAGCGTATTAAAAATTATAAAATTTCGTTTTATTTAATTTTAATTACTACTTAAATTAATATTTAGAAAAATGTTTAAAAATTAAAGTAGAATTTTTAATATCCTTCCATTTAAAATTATAATTAATTAACTATAATTATAATTAAATTAACTTAAAATTAAATTTAAAAAAATAAATTTTATAATCTCTAATATGTTTCATTGTCAAAAATAAAATTATAATCATGAACATTTAGTTTTTAAAAAAAATATTGTAAAATTTGATATTACACTCAAAAAATAAATTGCCTACATTACCTTATTAATATCGATTTGAGAAATCATTGTAACACCAAACACTTCTTGCAAAAATTCTTGATTAGCTAAACTACCGATCCATAGGTACATGGATAAGCCATTGTCTGCGAAAAATCATATAGGATAAAATTTAGGTAAATATAAATATAATTATTGCGACAATCGCTAATGTGTACTAAATTTTCATTGTTTAAATAGTATAAATGAATATTCACAATATAATTTAATAGTATCTGTGTTTAATTAGTCATAAATTTTTTAAGAAAGCCATAAAATTGCATAGCAAAAAAAAACATGTTCATTACTCAGTATATAAACGCCATGTTGTTCAAGTTTGCTAGCCGAGCATCTAATCATATGAGGAATAGTCGGAGCGTTTTCATCTTTCATATCAATGTTGTGCTTTATTGTTTATTTTTATATAACGTCATTTTAAAGGTATTTAAAATCTAAAATGAGTACTAAATTAAATATAGGGTTAGGTTTCTAAATTTTATGGCATTCATTTAAAAGGAAATCCAAATTTAAATAGGAATATTGACAAACTATATAAGGTATTTAAATTATGTATTTATGTTTACTAAGGGTATAAGTCGAGGGTAAACGTATCCGTTGCTTTCCAGAACACTCATATTCCTGACTATGTACAAAATCCAGTTCCGATCATCGGTCTTGATTGATATACCTTTAAATCATTATTAAAATCGCGTAAATAACAATTTACCAAAGAAAGAAATTAAGGTGACATAAGTCTGTTATTTAAAATTGTTTTAATTACTAAATGTAATAAAGGAGAACGCGTCTCTCTAATTACGGTTTTTAAGAGGATGGAAAATGGAAGAAAGAGAATTTAAAAGAGAAACTGGTAAACTCAAAAATCATATTAAATAGATTGCCATCAGCAATACATTGTCACTCCCACCTTAAAAAATATATTGTATTATGATATATTCACCTCCCAACATAGCGTCGGTTTTTAATAAGCAAGAAATGTAAAGAGGAAGTAATTTCATGCATTCGGGTAATATGAGTTGACCAGAGGAAGAATTATTTGCGCATTGTTTGCGGTAGCAAGCTAATGATTGAGCGCATAATTTGCTAGAAGTTTCTTTCACCTGTTTAGCGGAGGCCATAAAAATGCCTCGGACAGCTTAATATTTTTTTTTTAAAAATCGTAATTTTCAAAAATATATGAAGGAAATGAATGATCACTGATTTTATTATAATGCAATGTATTTGTTTATTTTTTACGGATATTTCGCTAGTTGTTAAACGGCTCGATTTTGCCGATTTTAAGCCAAAACAATATTACGTAAGACTCGAAATTTGTTAACAGATGTCCAAATCTTCGTGTCACCTGTGAGCAAAATCTCCAGGCTTACGTAAAATATATTTAGCTAAAATATTGGCTTAGCCGTTTTTAAAAATAGAGAAGTTTAAAAACACTAGATGTGGCTTAGTTTTACCTTATTATGGAAATGTTTTGTTTAAATTAGTAAAATCGCAGGTATATATGGTGCGATTTAATATAATAAATTTAAGTGTATATATTGTAAAAATGAAACTATTAAAAATTGTTGACGGCCATGTTTGAAGAAATTTATTTGAAAATTAATCTTATGATGATATAAAAATCCAATTTCATAATTATTAAAAATGAATTTAAATTTAATGGACCTTGTTTAGCTAAGAGATTGATTAAAGTGTCCAAATCACACATCCTATATATATCCGTGAACAGATTACTACATTTCATAGATAAATTATGAATTCTGAGTCTTCTTTCACCACCCATAGTGGTATATAAAATGGCAACCTTATTTTATATTTTAATAATATAAAGATGATTGTTATAAGTAATAATATTAAATAGCCATGAATGATTTAAGATGGAAAAAAAATTCAGTGAATATAAAAATATATGCTCTCTTGGATTACAAAAAATGAAAAGTAAATATCGAAAATATTTTAAGTCCGTCATGTGTATTATTTGATATACATCTTAATAAAATTTTCATATCAGATGTTGTTAAGCGAAAACTCTTGAGTGATAAGTAACGAAATTTAAGCGAGGTTAGTAGTGGGCTTTCAATATGACTCTTGGATTTCTCTCTCATTTAGGTATTCTGATGAGCGAATCAGATTTATAATAATCTGAGATTCTATTATATCTTATTTATGTGGCTGAAATATAACTAACTTTGAAACTTGAAGTACTTGTTGTTAAATGTTTAAAACTGGTTAACTCAAGATTTTAGTCATAAAAATATTACACAAGCCTGGGGATTTTGCTCATAGCTGGCAGAAGTTTGGACATCTATTAGAGATATTTCGATGCTTAGGTAATATTATACTAAAATAGTGATTTAGCCGTTTTTAAAAATCGGTTAAAACAAGCTGTTTAACAACACTTGAACCATGTATCGACCTCCGAAGTGGTGACGAATTTTATACTTTCAAACTAAAAAAAATTAATTCAGGTAGGATTTAGAAATAAATGAAATTGTACATATTTATTATTAAATCTGTTTTACCAGTAATATCCAACTTAAATATAACTAGGGTACTACCTATTTTTTAATGTAGAATTAGCCGATTCAGTACATATATAAAAATATAGGTCATCGGTTGATTGGAAATATTAAAATGTTGGATACTAAAGCTTACGAATTTAACAGTAGCTTTTAACGTTGTGTTTATAAATAAAACGCATCGCTTTTAAAATTGAAGTAGTATTTTTTTAAAAAATAATATTGAAATAGAAATACAAATTATTTTGCGTCCTTTTACGCAAAAAGAAAATGTCTAGATTCGTGAGAACCATATATACATTTTTGGTTTATATTATTTCCATAATTTTATTATTAAAAAACGGAACCTTTAAATCACCTTTAATATGAATAATCGGTTATAGCTTAGAATGAGGTTGATTGGTTGGGATCGAGGAGTGATAATTGGTTCTAATTTTAGATAACTGCCAAAATTTTTATCATTTTATGGCTAGAAATAAAAGTAATTTTGCATTGGTTTTTTGTTTTGTAAAAAAGATTTTAAAAAATTCCTTGTAAACTTCGAATCGATTGTTGATCAATATATTGCTTAGTTAAGTAAGAGACAATGTTGTCTTGGTAACGGTATATATTCCATCTCATTATTTTACTTCTAAGCGCATTCCAGTTTAATTCCATTATTATTTTACTTCCAACATTGTCTCTACTTAACTAATTGATCAATAATCGTTTTGAAGAGTACAAGGAAATTTCCGAAAGTTTATTTACAATAACCAGTTGTTTTCAATGCCAAATTACCTTTAATCTAGCCGTAAAAGAAATATGAATTTTCAAAAAATGATATCATTTTGATAGGCTAACCAAAATCCGAACCTATGATCCCATCTAATTAACTTCATTTTAAATTCCTTCAACTAAATTTGGTCCTCGGTTATAAAACTAAATATTCATAATTTTAAAACAACAAATTTTCAACATGCAACACTTGGAACAACCTTATATAAATCCAATGCACACCTACAACTATCAAACTCAGATCATGACATCTGCTAAGCCTAAAATTACCACAACTCAACAATATATCATCATTAAACTCCTATATTTACAAATATAGGGACTGATCTTTTGTCTTTTATAGAAATAAAGGTTATCAACCGATATTATTAAATTTTCCGATCTGATCCCAAAAAATTAGGTAATAATTTAATATTTAAGAAAACATATTTATGTATAAGTTAAGAACATTCTTATATAATTGAACTGATATTTTTTTTTATAAAAACCCATAATAAATTAAAATATGCTAAAAAGTAATAAAATGCATAATTTATTTTTATTAGAATGTTTATGATTTTAAAAACTAAATAAATCTTTTTTTTAACAATTTATATTAATCATGAATAGACTAGTTAGGATTCTACTTTTTAACTTTTGGAACAAAAAAATTTACAATGATTTTACTCTATAAACAGATGATTTGTATACTTTTATTGATTAACATAACTGAAAATAGTATATTTTTTATATGACTTATGTTATGGTATAATAAAAATTTAAATACGTATAACTAACAAAATCGGATAAGTGATATCGGATGGGTAATTGGCAGATATCAACTTAATATCGATTATTGATTGTGTTGGATCGACCTCCAAAAAGTGGTATCGGTACACCTTAATTACAACACTATGTTCTACATTTTCTTATAACTAATCTCTATAGCATCCAAAACTAAATATATCATTCGTAAATAACTGTCTATCAAAATCCAAATATATCAGATTGCCACAATATATCAATGCTAAACTCAAGATATTACAATAACTGTTCTATATATTTTATCATAAATTAACCAATTTTTATTGCATCCAAAAATCAATGTATTATAATCATAAAGACTTTATCAAAGCTACATATATTCCATTTTTATAAAATTGATTCAATATTTTATGGCTAAACATTATCATAATATGATATTTTGATCCCAATAAATCAACATCATTCTAAATTCCAACTAATATGCACCATTTGGATAAAATATTTATATAAATACATTGCAAATTACAACTTATAAATATAACGAGTTATCTAGAATTTTACCCTCTATATCACATGCTTATAAATACTGAAACCCACCTACCAATAAATTGTTCATTGGGGAAATAATAACATCTTCCATTAGCCTACTGGACCTCAGTAATATATCTACTAAACAAAATCTTCGACTATGTTATAAACTACTTAAAATAACCCGATGAGAGCTACTGCCATTTCATCGAACCAAGATGTCTCCTCAATCCGAACTACCTATATAAATCGCGATGTTCACGTGGATATAGAATAAACTCGGCAAATATTCGCCAACGTTACCTCACTAATTTTATATTCTTATCATTAATTGCGATAACATTAACATCATTCGACGCTCACGACCTAACCTTTTTCAAGGAGTTAGAGCAACAGTATAGTTAGGAATGTTGATCTCAATTAAGGATACTGCCTACGACAGAGAATGGCTCTGAGAATTGTCAAAACAAACTATCTCTGCTTCTTTTTCTTGATCAATAAGTCTTCATAAATGAAAATTAAGATCTTTGTAAACCAAAGGGAAGGGACAACTATGTAACAAAAATAAGCATATCAATATCTCTAAATTATATCAGGCTATTTGTCCTTCATTGTATTTAAATTTTATTCGAAATACACAAATTATATAAATTAATATTAATGATTTAAATAAATTTAACCTGTATATACATATTTTCTTGTTCAGACAACTTGTCGTCGTGTTTGAGTTCCACGGTTATACTGTTCTCTGGATCTAGTATAGCAATTTCAACGTCCGTTGAATTTTCCATGTAAAAATTGCCATAATATTCGACAGGTCTGATGCCTTATGAAAAAATATAAAAATTAAATTCTAATACGTGACATTATATAAAATATGAAATGGTAAAAGCAATCAAATGAATAAGTTTTGGAGGATCAAAATTTAGGTTAGATCACTTAAAAAAAATATATATAAATTATTATTGTAACAATCATCTAATAAATTGGGCAGATATTAGATAAGACATATATGTAACCTGTGCTGGTGCGAACTTTCATAATTGAATCGAATGAAATAGGTCTTTTAAACAATTGGTGTAAATGAGATATCAATCGTTCCCCATCTGTTTCAGCCTTTTATATTAATGCAAAAGTATATAGTGTGAATAGGATTAAGAGTAAGGCTTGTAGTAAAATGACTTTATGACCTTCTTAAACTCATTTTAACCAATGAATTAATTCAATTTAAAATCTTCACTATAATTTAGAGTTAATGGCTTTTTTAATATAATAAATTCAAATTTAAATATATTCACATGGATAATTTCCCTACAATATTTTATAAAGAAAAAGACCATCTTATTGAAAATGATTGTTTTCGTAGAATGGAAAAGTTTCAATAAACCCTAAAATTGTCGTATTTGTAGACATGTCCACCAGTTACCCTGCATATTTCGCCGAGAGAGGCAAGATTAATGTAAGAATTGGGAAATATGAAGAGGTCAACGCCACACCCAGTCTGGATACAAGTTTCCCCTAACTTCGTGTAGAACGTGGAGGAAGGGAGTAAAATGTTCTGAAAATTATATTTTTTTAAAATTGTTGTACAAATAATAAGGTGAGTTTAATAGGTTGCTCATATTGATAGTAGGGATATGAAACGGAACTTTGAGTAAATCTATGGAGCGGGAACCGAACCCAACGTGTAATACGGAACCTTCCCGGAATTAAAAATATATAATTTTTTAAAGTTTATTTCTATAATTATAAATTTTTATTCAAACTAACAGGTTCTATTAAGTTCTTTTTATTTTCTTATATATATATTTTTTTATAATAATAAATAATCATTAATCATATTAATGTAATAAGTAATTCAAATAAATCAGAAGGACAAGAATATGATGAAAATTAGAAATGCTTCTATGGTCCAAGGATAAAAAGGCATAGCAAAACTTACAAAAAGAATGATATTCTATCAACTATAAAAAAATTTGGAGCGGATCGTCTAGATAAATCGAAAATTCACTAGAATACAGGGAATTTAATAAAATAAAAAATTCTGGCCCAAATCGTATCAGCAACTCCATAAGCCAGCTACTGAACGTTATTTTTCGATACATTAAATTTATACTAACACCACAAAGAACCAATATAAATGATAATCTTTTAGAAAATATATTATAGCTTCGATGTAATAATTGATTAAATAAAGATTAATTAAAATGTGTAGATTTAAAAAATATATTTAGATATTTTTTAAGAACGTTCCAAAAGTTGAAACATAACAATTTTTTGACCAGAACAGGTTGTTCCGAGTCCCTGATTGAAAGTGAATACCAAAATATGTTCCTTTTAAAATAATCCGATTAGTGCAAATTAAACATGAATATATCATTTTAATCCCGAACAAATGTGACCCCTATCTGCCTGGTCTGAAGCCTTTGGCAATGTCAAGGATAACGTGTTCATAAATTTTCTGGGGTATCCCGTAATTATATACTTTAAAAATTCAAAATAATAAATCTTTAAGGGGCAATATTGGGGTTGGACTGAAAAACCTAATCTGTAATCCCAATCCATATATCGACAAAAATCAATTTATTGGTAGATATAAGTTTAAATTTATTCCAAAAGTAAGATAATATACAATTATTATATTGTGCTTACTTTGTTCTACATATAATAAATGATAAATAAAATTTTAAATATCATCATTTTAAATGCTATGAAAATATAAAATTTATTAATATTTTTACTTTTTCTTTTTCAGTTCCCAATAATTTAGGATCATCTTTATTTTCTAATTTCCCAGGAGCTTCTAATATTGGCAATGAGGTGTGAAAAATAATTAATTTTCCACAGCATTTAGCTTGCTGTATATTGTGTAAATAAAATCAAAATTCATAAAAAGGGAGAGTATTTTTATACATTACATGTAGCAAGGTATGTTAGAATAATTTAGAAGCATTAAGGCTTAAGCAAATGTCTATGACCTGGGATTTGACTTATTTTTCTAAGTCTTGCGTAGGTCATTAATTTAGCTAAAGCCCTAAGAGTATATTGCTACATATATTTTAATGTTTTTTAATTCAGAATCAAAACTAAAATGCTTAGAAGAAAAATTCCTTAACACTCAGAAAAAAATATTAAATAGGAGAGACCAGGGCTAGTCGGCGCAGGGGCTTTGTCGGTTCAGCGGATTTTATTTAAGAACCAAATATGAGATCTTTCAACCATTAAATATAATATCACAAAAACTATTTATATTATCAAATGATACAAACTTTTAAGGCTTCTACACCAGTTTGAATCGCGGGTCCCAGCATGATTTCGGTCAATTTGGTTTCGGAAAAATTGGCTAATATTTGATCAGATATGCTATAATAGTACATAAAATATTAAATTATTTTTAAAAAATTATCTTGAAATTGTTAAGTTTTTATGAAATTGGTGTAAATACTTATTGAAAATTATGATGTGATTTAAATGTCTTGAAAGGAAATAAGAAATATTGTCCAAAGTATTACATGTTTCCAAATAAATGAAGTAACTGTTATATAATATCGATAGAAAATTTTATATTACCATTCGATACTTTCGATCATTTGATCCAAAGTTAAAAGGAATTCATTGTGAGATGGAATGAAAACATCGTTCAGGTCGGGTTCTATCATAATCCTTGGTTGCTGACAATTCTAATATAAAAAATAAAATTTAAATTTATGCATCATATAATTATTTGAAATAATTGGCATTTAAACTTTATGCACCCCTCTCCAGGTTTGATCACACCAAATTCGGATCGGTCAGACATTTTCTCAGACTAAATCATGTTGTTGGACTTGGCGATGCCCAGGATTGTAAAAAGTTGAGAACAGAGATCAGAGAGAAAAATAGTTTAACCGGGTAAACCGAGAAAACGCTATTAAACGAAGTGCTTAAAAATTTGTAAATCGTACTATTTCCGTACAATATTTTTCTTTAATTTTTTTCCCCTGTATAGGACCTATTTTACAAACAAAGAGTTTTCGAATCGGACTTGAATCATTGAAAAAAATAAATGGTAGGATCGGATTGGAATGACAAAAAAGTTGTAATTGTATCGATATTGGCACACCAGTAGATAATTAAATAACAAAAAATCAGAAACATTTAGTATAATAATGTTCTCAGCTTCCATATGAAATATTATAAAATATGAGTGTTGATGATATTAAAATATAATTTAATAATCCTAATCTTCAATCAACTCTTTGGGGTATAGCAGTTTCTTCAGCTTCAGTAGAAAGAAAGTTCCTCTCTTTTTAACCTAATCCAAATTTAGAAACAGACTTAGACACAAAAAATTTATTTTTTCAGTTTTAATATTTTAATTTGTCATTGGTAAAATTTACAATTTAAAAATAAATACTAATATAAAATCAAAATTGATGAAAAATGTGATTATAATAATTAAGCATAGGAAAGGCTATTAAATAATTTTCACTTAGGTATTAATGGTAAAAGGTCAAGTGATTAATAGGTAATAATTTTTTTATTAAAATTTAAATGTTAAAATATAAAATTTTGATTTAAATCAATATCTTTGAAAATAAAATTCACTCTTTTTTATTTCTATGCCCAAATTACTATTTACTTCTTCTTATTCCCCGTTTAATAGTGGCCATGTTTACCCGGGTAAGCTATTGACTAAAAATTTAATCTAACCCTATGTAAATATACTATAAATTAAAAAAAGAAAATATTATTAAAAAAAATTTGCAACATGAAAAAATCTAAGTTTTAGACGACTATGTCCAAAACTTGAAAAGATCACTTACGAAAACGAGTTAATGAAAATAAATAAATAATTATTATTTTATCTAAAAATAAAAACATGGCTAAGACGCTTAAAAATTATGAACGTTTTAAAGCTAAAAAATTTTTTTAAGTTTAGGACGTAACCTTAAGCAATTATCAATAATGAAAAAATTTTAATAAAAAAAAAGTTAAATTATTAATTAAATTTTGTAGTTTACTCTGGCCAAATAAAAATGGATCATTTTATCGTAGGTTATAATTCCGATTCTGAGTTTATTGCCCAATTCTTCACCGCTATATGTATATTATTTAATATTATAAAAGTTTTTGTTTTAATTATATAAATAAATAATCGTAACCATAATTACTAGGTTATTCTGGGGGGGGGAAGGCTTTTAGCTGATAAATTATTGTTTATAATGGCATAGTCTTCGTTTAGAGGGAGTGTTGAAGATAATTTTTATAAGAATCATATCTAAAAGCTGGAAATTAAGCGGAGGGGGGGGGGGTAAAGGTAATACTTTTTGTAAAAAATGGAATTAGGCCGAGTGTAGTAATTTCTTTTATTAGTTAAAACTAGACTTAATACATTTATCTTAATTTAGTTTAAGATCAATGTTAAAATATACAAAATAAAAAGTCTAGTTTTAACTAATAAAAAAATCTTTAAAAGACACCCTTGGCGTCAAAGCCTTATAAATCGAAGGTTTGTTTAAGAATCATGATAAATAATCGTAAATCATTTAATATATTTCTAGACGTGTTTTAAAAATTAAGATAGTTGTTTTTTTAAACTTGTTTTTAATAGTAAACAGAAGATTTTTCATATTTTGGCACAGCAACGCTACCATTCCCGAATTAATAGCGTTATAAGACACATCAATCAAAAATATGATCGCGGGTGGGCTAGGAAATTCGTTGTTCTAAAAAGAACAAAAATAATATATAAATGATAGATAACGATTCAGTGTATTAAAAAAAAATTCTAAAATGTATTCTATCAATTAATATTTTAGGTTTAATTTTGGGAATTTAAAATCTTGTAGAATAACGTCAAGGAAGGTAGACATGGGGGAAAGTAACAGTAACAATTACTTTTTATAAAAGATATATCGATCTGAACTTTTAAAATAAAGTAACGTGCAATGGTATGCGTTAAAGTCCGGTACTACTTTTTCTTTTCAGTAAAGTTTAAGTAAATAATTGTCTACTTAATAATAAAAGGCTTGTCTACTTAATAATAAAAGGCTATCATGTAACAAAAGCGATATATCAATAAGATTTTTTAACGAAATACATATAACTTATATACTAACTTTGCAATATTCTTTGGTAGCTATCATTTCGAATGAACCACAATAAAGCTCTGGACGAATGCTCAAATCTACTCTTTTACCATTGTAATCCAAGTGATTATAATATTCGGGAGGAACTTAACATATAATTTTGATTTTTAAATTTATTAGTTCTTTTTAAATATTTAAAAAATATATATGCGCCAAATTACCATGAAAAAAAAGAATCCTTTAAGCTTGTGCAATACTAAAAAAAACTTTATCAATTCATATATAATTTGTTAAGACCTGGAGAGGCCAAATTTTCATGCCCGACCAGGATTTTCAGTTAAAATTTTATCTTTATCCATCGTATAAATTTCCAACTGGTTAATTGATATGATATAAATTTATTTTTTAAAAAATTCATCTATCCCAGGTTTTTATTTTTGCCCATTTTTGTAATTTATTTTTAAGCTCATTCTATTTAAATCCGGCACATAGTCGGGTCAGGTTTAGGGCACACGGGAATCGGAAGATTTGTTTCATCGACAAAAAAATATCAATCAAAAATGTTAAAAGTGGTAATTTAAAAAGTTGAAATCACCTTCGGTGTTGGTCTTGCAAAAGGGGCAATAAAATTTGCGGCCCCCATCGTTGAATTGCATAAATGAGGACATATAAGCTTTGCATCGGTTACATCTGACAGGGCCCATCGCGCCAAAATCAATGATAGGGAGTGGACTCTTTTACAATTGTTGGAGGGGTTTAAAAAATTTGTATTATATAAGGTAACTTATTAATAAATTATTCATTTAAAAAAAATTAAGCATGCGTACACTACAGGGCTTTATTATAACAAAAATAGATTAGCCAAAAAATATTCTAGAAAATTTTCAGAGATTTAAACCAAACCTGAACCGTTACTAAAATTAAACTGAACAGTAAAGATATTTTTCATCAGAACCTGAGCCTATAAAATTTCGTGTGAACCGGTTTGAACCTTTTGATATTTTCGCTTATTTAATGATCATTAATCAATTTTGGCTAAGTAATTATTTTTGGATAAACTCTATTTGATGGTGCCAGCTACCCAAATTTGCATTATAAAAGTGTTAGTACCAAAACTTATTTCCTCCTTATAGATATAATTTTTATAAGATTTTAACTGAATATGGCAATTTTAAAGAATAGTATGTGTTGGACGCGTTCTGATGAATGGCGTTCCTTTTATTTTTGACGAACGTGAATGCGTTCCTTTATTGGCAAACGCATTTGTGTTATACGTTAGCTCAATTTAAAAAAATCTTCTTATATTTATTCATTTAAAAATTAAAAATATTAATTTAATATAAATCCGAATTTTTTAATCAGCTGTTTCCTTTATCTCATCTTTGAATTATTTTAACCAGGCACTATTTTTGTCCTGTAGTAAAATTCGTTAATTTAAATGTTATTATTTATATTCTATAGATTAGAATAAGCATGAATGTTGATATTTCATCATCATCTGATGGTAAATTTTCAGAATCAGATATGGCACATATATAATAAATGCCTATGTTCAAGCAACTAATTATATCCTTACCAAATGTAAAATATATCCAAAATAGGGCCATAGCCAGGAGAGGAGATTCACCCCCCCCCACCCCTTAAGCAAAATACCGATTATAAATTAATTTTGATAATATGAAGAGATTTTATTTTAAATAGGTTATATATTTCTTATTTTAGCAAAAATTGAAAACATTATTTTCCTTGTGTATTAATATTTAATCCAGCGAAAATTTTAATTATATTTTATTAAATGCTGATGGATATACATAATTCAATAAGAAAGATCTAAAAGTAATATATATATATATATAATAAATATATATAGCTCTCTCAAAAAATTATAATAACTGATTATTCCTCATCAAAATATGAAGTAGCGTTAATAATTGCAAATGAAACTATTAAACAAAATGAAGAATTTAAAAAGATGATTAAGGAAAATATAAGGCCTTCAGGTTCACGAGTAGTTATTATCTATATTTCAATATTATATTATATAATTAAATTTTATATTTAACTCTTGGATTCATCTCATGTGATGATACAAAATTAAAAAATATATTATATTATTTAATGATTCCATTGTTTTATTAATATATTTTAGAATTTACACCAAACTCGCAACTAGGGGTGGGACCAATACCAATATAATATTGGTTTACAATACCAATACCAATATAAACTAATATATATTTAAATATTGGTATTGCTTTTACAACCAATACCAATTACCTAAATATATTGGTTTTGATATATTGTTTAAATACAATTTTAACCAATACCAATATTAAAAATAACATAATTATTTGGGTTTATCGTGGATAATTATATTGTGGTATTTTTTTTACTTTCATTGCAAAAACTGATTACATCTGTTATTTCTTCCAAATACTACTGTGATATCAATATTTCTGTTATTTATAATTATAATTTATTTTTATTATGGAAGTAAATTTTTTCCATGATATCTATTAATTTTATCTATTTATTTAGGATATTATAATAAATGAAGACCAAATAGAGTTAATAAATATAGATGCTGTTGGTACTAATAATAATAGCGATAAGGAACAAGAAGAATTATCAAATCTAATAAAAGACGAAATTCAGCAAAAATCTGGGAATTTTATACTACTTGTGATAATAAAAAAAAGGCAATTTGTAATAAATGCAAAAAAAATATCACTTCCCAATTTCGGAACCTCAGGATTATGGACACATCTTAAATCCATCTACCCAACATTATATAAGAAATGTGAGCAAATAAATATTGGCAGTAAAAAAATTAAGACAATAAAATTTTTTTTACTTAATAATATAAATAATAAAGCTAATATAAACTTTTTCATTCAAAATAATTTAGCCTTTTCAATAGTTGAGGATATCACTTTTAAAAATTTAATAGCATATTGTAACCCTTCACTAACATTAGTTTCTAGAAAAACACTAAAAATAGAAATTATGAAACATTATCTATCAATTTAAAATCTGTACTTTCTAACATAACATCTAAATTTTCCTTAACAATAGGCATTTGGTCCTCTCCAAATAAAATACCCTTTATGGGTATAACAAATCATTATATTGATAATGATTTTAAATTAAATAATCATTTATTAGATTTTATTCCTTTTAAATCAGCACATAATTCTATTAATATTTTTAATTCTGTATTAAAAGTAAAATTTGAAATTGATTTTTTTTGCATTACATTAGACAATGCAAGTAATAATTTAGCATTTCTAAAAATTTTAAAACAAAAAGATAATTTTGATAATGTGTGCAAATGCTTTTGCCATATTATACATATGTCTGTCATGGCTGCATTGGAACCCTTAAATACAACTTTAAAAAAAATAAGAAATTTTTTAAAAATTTTTAAACTTCTCTATATCTAAATTTAATAAACTCGAAAAAATATATCTTGAAAAAAATCCACACTTAAAATTTCCTCACCCAATTTTGGATATACCAACACGTTGGAATTCAACATACCAAATGCTTGAAAGAGCAATATTGCTCAAACCCTATTTGACAACATATACCAATCATTTACAAAATACCAATCAAGAAAATTATATTAGTGCCTTAGCCTTGAATAATATAGAAATATACCGAGAATTTCTGGAACCATTTAATTTTGTTACAGAGATGGCCTCATGTGCTAATACTCCAACAATTTCAACAATTATTCCTTTATATTCCAGTATTTTTGAGCAAGTGGAGAGTTATAATAATAATCCTAATGCTATTTTAAAGACAGCTTCTTTAGCTGCCTTAACAAAACTTAATAAATACTATAATTATAATAAACACCTCTTTATTATTTCAACAATGATTGACCCAAGATTTAAACTATCAAGTCATTTATTAAAACATAATAATATGGAAACTCTTATTGGATATCTTACTAATGAATACAATATTTATAAAATAAATAAAAACAATTCAGCGGAACTTACAAATGAAGCACGAAATAACAAAAAATTGTCCTTTTATGACAAAATTTATCAGGTGAAACCTCATAATAATAACAACTTAGAAATAAGTAAATACGTAGATGAAGCCACAATTTCCAATGATACAAATCCATTAGATTGGTGGAAATTAAATAAAAATAGATATCCAGTATTATCAAAAATTGTCAGATATTATCTAGCAATTCCGGCCACCTCATCTAGTTCTGAAAGGGCTTTTTCAGAAGGACGGTATGTTATAACAGACCAACGTTGTTCACTAGATGAGCATACTATACAAGCTTGTCTGTGCCTAAAAAGTTGGATGCGCATGCAAGATTCTTCTTAAATAGATAAAATTATTTCCTCTTCTTATATTAAAATTATATCATTCTTTTGCATATTTTGTATAAATAGACAGTTATGTTACATTTTTAGTTTACTTATTTTGCTATGTTCTTTGTGATAAATAAAATGGTTCAAAATCAATACGTTTATTATTGTTGATACAAATAATACATGATTAAATCAAAATTTTTTATATTCACATCACCTAATTGTTGTAGCTGTTGAAAAAAAGAAGAAATAAATTTAATATAATACATCAAATGTCAGTTATTTTCTGACAGGTGAATTAAGTTTTCCTTGGGGGAAGAAGAGAAGGTGATGAACACATGATGGGTTGATGGGGAAGGATTCTTTTGTTATCCATTTTGGGATGAAGAGTCAGCGAGGAACTAATAATGGACCTTTGGGAAATGAAGAATTAGATATTTATGATTTGTAATTTTTCTACATATTATATATTAGATTGTTGTTGGTGTTTTTTAATAAAGAAAGTTGAGTCGTATTCTTATTTTTATTATTATGAAATTATGGTTTGTTTTGTGTTATGGGATATGGTTTGTTTTGTGTTATGGGATATGGTTTGTAATATTTATGGTTTGATATAGAGGTTTTCGAAATTGGTGCACGATGACTATAGGATAGTTTCGATTCCAGGGTTATTCGGTATTTTAAAGGTAAAAACAAAATTTTTGTATAAATATTATATGAAAAATTTTAACCATGCAATGTACTAAAAACTATATAGATACGTGAGTTTAAAAATTTCTATACTTTTATATTTAACTTTAAAAAAATGTAAGATTGAAAGTAGGTAATGAGTATTAGGCAGAAATATGGAAATAACATCAGGAATTTAAGACAGTAATATTTGGTATATTATCTTATGTCTAGATGTATATGGTACATCTAATTTTGATCATTATTTGGTATGCCTTAAAACTCATTGAATGGTGTTATAGGTATTCCGTCATAGGAAGCTGAAAGACCTCATGAACAGCAGGACAGAAAGGATTGTTAAATATTTAAATATGTGAAATTTATGAAAATATATATGGATATAGACGTTTGTAATAAAGTGTGTATTATTTAATTATGCATTTTGGGTTTGTAAAGGGATGAATATGTATGGGATAATTTATCATTAATTAATGTTAATATATTGCATAGGTAACATATGATATATTTAACTATGAATTATTATTTATAATGTTAATATATTGTATAGGTAACATATGATATATTTAATTATGAATGAGAATTTGAAGGAATTGAAGTATGATGAAGTCAGAATAATATCTATAATGTTAGATGTGGATAGTTATTTTGATTTAGTGTCTGCATTTAGTGTATATATAAATTGGATAGGAATTTATATGATACATTAGATGGTGTATAATATTTTTTTTTTAAATTATGAAATCTTTATATTTAATATATATATTTTTTTTTTAAATTATAAATTTTTATAAGAAGTTTTATTTGCAATTATTATATTATTTGTGTGGTATGCAATGATGTGAAGGGAAAATATTTTTACAGATAAGGTCAGCCCGTGTTGAGGGGTATGCCTTGAGGTGAAAATATTGTTTAGTTTGCATACTGGGGAAAGTTTTTTTTTGTAAATTTATGCTGCATAATACATTTTTTTTTATCTTTTTAATAATTTTATAACACATCACATTTTACTATTTAATTATGAACATATTTTTAAAGAAAAGACTCAAATTATTTTATATTGTGAAGGTATATTAAAAATTCTTTACATATATACCATATAGCCCATTATATTATCAATTTTTGTTACTTTGCATTCTACATTTTTGTGAATTTGTGCTAATTGTGATGACAGAGTTAGGTAGAAATGGTATATTTTTCTTAGGATACTGAGTAATTCCTAGATGGAAAATATTGTATTTTCTACATATTATATATTTGTTCCTTCATATATAATATTAAATGTATTTATATACGTATGTATTGTAATTTTATTTATAATCTTTGTTCGGCCAAGTTTCGCAATTATTTTTAATACTTAAAGATGGATTTTTATATTCATTTTAGGAAATATTTATAAAGATGTAGCTTTGTTTTTTTTTCACATGATAGAATGAAAATTACATGTGTTGAAATTGCGTTTCACACATAGACAATGTTTTCACATTACATTATTATATGTAAAATCATTATTTCCTAATTACCATGAATCATACCCTAATAATGTATATTATAGCTAGTTGTTCCCAAATGTCTTAAAATGAATAAATTATTATGTTTTGCGGATATTACATTGTCCATATTAATGTTCCGTAGATTATAAATGCAGATACCCCCATGTACATGTCATTATTGATAATGTCTGTTTTGGCGATTTTATATTGAAATGTACTGGAATTATTATATTATAAATCATTATAAGGGAAGTTGATTCGATAAATTCCCTGAACATCTTCAAGGCGTTCCAATACAATTATAATGGGCGAGTCGATACAATTCAAAGAGGTGATTCGATACAATTCAAAGGGGCGATTCGATACAACACCACCACAAAGAGAGGGACGCTGGGCTTGTGAAGGGTGGGCGTGTTGTAGCTGTTGAAAAAAAGAAGAAATAAATTTAATATAATACATCAAATGTCAGTTATTTTCTGACAGGTGAATTAAGTTTTCCTTGGGGGAAGAAGAGAAGGTGATGAACACATGATGGGTTGATGGGGAAGGATTCTTTTGTTATCCATTTTGGGATGAAGAGTCAGCGAGGAACTAATAATGGACCTTTGGGAAATGAAGAATTAGATATTTATGATTTGTAATTTTTCTACATATTATATATTAGATTGTTGTTGGTGTTTTTTAATAAAGAAAGTTGAGTCGTATTCTTATTTTTATTATTATGAAATTATGGTTTGTTTTGTGTTATGGGATATGGTTTGTTTTGTGTTATGGGATATGGTTTGTAATATTTATGGTTTGATATAGAGGTTTTCGAAACTAATAAATTCCTAGTTTAAAAAAAGAATTTGAATTCAGTAAAATTTTGAGTTGGTTCTTAGCCCTGATTTTATGGTATCATGATTTTTTTTTCCCATGTTTATTTAAGATTAGAAATTAAGGGTTTTATAATCACTATTTCTATCCTTTTAATAAGTAATTTGAATTTATACCAATATAAACCAATAGTTATCAATATAAACCAATACCAATACAAGAAATAGAAAATATTGTTTAAACCAATACCAATATTTTAAACCCAATACCAATACAATATTTTGTTAATATTGGGTTTTTACTATTGGTTCCCAGCCCTACTCGCAACACAACAAGATCATACTTATGATATTGCAAAATTTTTTAATGATCTTTCTTTAGGAAATAAAATCATGCTTCTTAAAAGGTATGAGTAAATAAATATAACTTCTTTCCATAAAACAGTGTTGTCATAATTTTTTGAAAAACTTACAAGAAAATAAAATTAATTATAATTATCACAAAATTGATTGGATTTTAGAAAGCCAAACACAATAAGTAAAATTAGGAGGTTGGGGGGAGATGGATAATTTTTTTTGGAACATTAAAAATTTATCAAACTAATCAATATAAAAATTACAACCAATCATATCGAAAATGACAATTTCTCAAATATTTAAGCGCATATATAATATCTATTAAAAATATTATTGCTATAACTGGTATGTAAATCACAGTAAAATATAGAATTAAACATTATATGATAATTTTAAAAGTTAATCAAAATATCTCATAAATAGAAATTTGATCTTTGCCATTGCGCCAGTTTTTTAATAATTTATTCTGTGTTGAGTTTTAATATATTTGGGAAAAAAACTACAAAATATATTATAGAGTAAGCAATGCTTCCATTGCGTTTCTTGACGAAGTATCTACTAAAATTAATCTTTCATGCTAAGATTTAAATTCTGAGTTTAATAGATATTTAGATATATTTATAACTTCTGAATAAAATTTAGCTAAATATTAAATTTTTAAATATATTCTCAAAAGGATTTATAGGTAATAGTATTTGAAATGGAGAGCTATTTGATGAATCACAATTGATTTGAGTCAAAGATGTACTCAAAAGGGAATAACAACTGTTATTTTAGTGTAATCATCAAATGAGTCTACGTTAATAATGAAACCATTTGTTTGTCTAAATGCAAGTCGAGTCTTGCGAATCTCAAAATCATTTACACCAACAATCATAAATCTCGTAAAATGGTCGATATTATCTCGTTTCCTGATTTATAATATAATAATATCCGCGATTCTCATAGCTTCAGCCAATTTCATATCATTTTTTGTAAAATATTGCATAAATTGTGTAATTGAATACTTTATTAATACATTCCAATGCAAATTTGCCGAATATAATTATTTCTGAGACTTCTTGTGCTACAAGAAAGAAACTGCAGAAAACATGCCAGAAAAGATGTTTAAGTTTATTGACCATGGATTTCATGAAATTTAAATGATTGAGGAGAAAGCCAAATTATATGATTTTTAAATCCGCAAGCCTCAACTTATACCAAGACAAACGAATCGTTCTAATATAAATAAAAGACAATTAAGAATTATTATAAAATAATAGTTTTTAAACCATTGGACACATTCCTACTCAAATCCGTGTTTCATCAATTGTCACTAATTAATTTACAAATATCATGCTTATAAATCCGTTAAAGGAAATAAATCTTGATCTCAAAAAATTAAATATTTAACTGAATTCTATCTATTAATGTATCTGAAGGCCAATTGATTTATTTAAATCTTGGTAAAAAAGATTAAATCTATAGTTTAAAATATAATTTAGATTTTTTCCAAATATATTAAAACTACTATATATTTTGGTAATATTACCAAAAACAAACACAAATGAAAGGACTTTTTCGTCTAAGGAGAATAAAACCTATCTTAGGAGTACCACATCAGAAAATAGGTTAAATGTTAGCTTTATTCATAGAGATTTAATTCCAAACACAGAACAAATTAATCAACAAAGATTATTAAATTTTTATATATTTCATTGTTATTTACATACCGTTATTTGGCTATAATTTTTTTAAACATAAATATTTTGTTTTTTGAATATTTTAAGTGCCCGAAATTGTTATTTAAAATATAATCGTTATAATAAATTTATGTTCCAACAAAAATTATTTTAATATTAAAAAATAACAGCCCCCCCCCCCCTCCAAAAAGAAAATGGTCCAAAAAGTATATTAGTTTCAAAATCTTCAAGTTCCAATTTAAAAAGACACTTGATTGCAACATTTATAATTTTATATAATATAATTATAAGTAGCCGTTAAAAATTTGATGTTGTATTTTATAGGCTTAATAAATTATTATGATTATTATGATAGATAAATTAAAAATAATTAAATATTATATACATGAATAATTTTGGCTGAAAATCTTAATTTAAAATTGTCTAAATCTACCATCCCATATTAGTAGTAATTTTTTTTGTGTATATAATTTGGTTATATATAAATAATATAATATACAATTTAATATCTGAAATTCATAAGTAAATTTTTTTAAACATACTTCAGATTGATGCATTTCGGCGAAGGGTGTAATAGTCAAGGCCATAGGAATAGAAGTAGATTTGATCATATCTTGAGTACAAGGAGCGCAATACAGAGTAGATCTTATGAAACGGGGCGAACAATTCACTTACATTTTTTTTAAAGAGGGATGAGAAAATAGAGATATATAATATAATAATATATTTTTTAATTTTCATAAATTAAAAAATGCATTTCTCTATTTTAATAAATTATTAATAAATGGCTTTATAAAAAAACTTAAAAAGATTTAAGCTAGAACGTTTGACCCGCAAGAATAAATCATTATATTAATTCTTAAATATCGTTATGTTTCATTTCTTATTCTTCGTTAATTTCCTTCCTATTAATGTCATCAAATGAACTCAATGACATTTATAATAATATCTAGATTGATTATTCATCAATTTAAATGTGTATCAATATACAGCTGGTGGCACTCCCTTTTTTTAATTATAAACAATTTACATTACAATTTTAAAAAATCGGAGTTACATTTATATTAAAAAATATTGTATGGGAAACCAAAATAGGGCGTCACCAGTTGATTTGTATTCGACCACACTTAAAGTCAGTGGCGTAGCTACGGGGGTGGTTTTCGGGATTGGACCCCTCCCAGAGCAAAAATTTTTTTTAGATTATACGTTCAAAAGACTTAAAAGTGATTTTATATGAATTATATTTTTCTGGTTTTGATGTTTGTGGAAGGATATTATATTACTTTTGAAATTATTCTGGATAGTATTATTATAAAGTCATTGAGAATAATCTAATAAATTATAATAACATATTATTGATGCATTTAAAAAATATATTTATATATATTATCAAGATATGGTGATTTGTAAGATAAACCCGGCCAAAGGCCGGGCAAAAAAGCCGAAGGTCCGTTAAAGGGGTTCTGGGGGGCGAATCCCCCCATATTTTATATGTATGGACCCCCTCTAAGGAAAATTCCTAGCTACGCCACTGCTTAAAGTGCATTTTAATGAATAAATCGCCAGACTGGATAAGTATTATAATAAAGAGGGGAAGGTGTCGTGGTTGACGTTTTGCGTAAAATATATAATATTAATGTCAATCAAGATGATCAATCTAATATTCGCGTAGGAATTCATTATTCATATCATCTAGGATATTTGGTTCGTATATTACATATATTTGGGATTGATTTATTCTTATTCCTGGATTCCATCTCTTCATACCATGTACATTGGTTGGTGATGGGATTGTTGTAAACCATCACCAACAGCAATTATTATCATTACTTACATTGTTATGCTTTTGATATGATTATCACAATAAAGTTATTTAATTGTTGATTAGAAACAAGTCAACCTAAGAATGTCATTGAATCACCTCGATTTTGTTGATATCATGTTTTGGCGAAATCTCGAAACTTAGTTAATATTTGTTTGGGCCCAAAATCTTGATTCCACCATTTTTTTAAATCCGCGAAATCAAAGTGATTTAACAATGCTATATTTCTACAAGGCTGGAAAAGATTATTGGAAAAGATTATGATTTTTTTTTATAAAAATTGAAAAAATATACAATATTTTTTATTTAAATCAGATTTATAATAAAATTATAATAATTTTAAAAAAAATATGACCTAGGGGGAAATACACCTGATGCAAAATTATTAATAGAACATGTACATTGCTTTTATTATGTTATATCTATTTTATGAATGAAACATCATTAAATTTAGTAATGTAATATTGAATTGATAAAAAGTTTTTTTTTCTACTATTTAATATTTGCCCATTAATGATAATTTATTAATTAAATATCAAATTTTAATGTTAAAATGTTAGATGATTATAAATATATTCTTATATAAACTAGAATTATATTATAAACTGTATTTGAATTAATCTTAGTATCTGTTTCTGTAGTATAACAATATAATAAATATTTATTAAATAAGGGAATAAATAATAGAGAATTGATCTCCTTTAATTTTAACTATGCAATTTTATAAGGAGTTTATTGAATAAAAAAAAAATATAATTTCGGGATTAATGGTAACCGACAATTTATAATAATAAAAATTTAGCAATTATTATAATGCTTTAATAAAATGTTTTTTATTTGAAAACAAAAAACTTAATAATTATTGAAAAACAAGCAAAAAGGTGAATTAATTTAAAATAATTTTATTTAATCATGCCAACTCTACTTTTCTACTACAAAAAAAATAAATACCATTGTTATCGGCAACATAGTCAGTGGTGACAGCTGGTGGAAGAGATTCCTTATTATCTTCGCAACGATACAGGCCCGTTTTATTTTTTATATCTTCGTCGATCACTTGTATCTAAAATGTTTTTTTTGTAATAAATATTAAAAAAAACGTATTATAATATAATATAAAACTATTCTTCCTCGAAATTAAAGTTTTATATTTTAAAAAATATGTTAAATTTACAGGATTGGGTAGGCTGTCAGGATCCAGTTTCTTTATAGGGGATGGGGCCACAGAGGGCTGAGATAAGCCACCCATAAGATTCGGATTGGGATAATGCGGTTGATAAGACATCATCTGAGGATGTGGAGGAGGCATGTATTGTTGTTGCTTAAAGTTCAAAAATGAAAATTATATACATTATAAGAAGTTAGTTGACATTCTTAAACTGCTTACGATATATTTTAATAATTAAAGAATTTCCATAGTTATATGCCACATTATATAAATAGGCCCACTCTAATAATTTACAGGCGCCCAATGTTATCAAAGACCTGCAGACTGGGCTAAAAGGGTAATGCTGTATTTTAATTTTTTTAATATAACCAGCCTGGGCCTATAATTTTTTTTTAAAAATCCCAAGCCTGGCAGTATATTTTAAAACCGAATATTTTAAATCGCGATTATTGGCTATAAAAATTAAATGAAATATATTATTAAAAAATTTGGCCTGGCCAGGTCTGAATATATGAAATTAGGGCCAGGCCAAAAAAAAATTTTTTTAAATCAGAGCTGGGGTATGTAAATGACACCTTTTCAGGTCTCTGATCAATATTAGAGAGAACGAACAATTTTTGTCAACCATTTTTGTAATTTTTATTTAAATTTATAACTTTATAAGTCATAATCTCAAATCTATATTATAAAAATGATCCTCAATAAACAACTTAAAATTGAGATCCTGAATTCCCGTGAATATAAAAAAACGGGATTTCATCCCACAAATAAAACATAACTTTTGTTCAGGAAAATTAAAAAAAATGTCCAGAAAAATTCTATCATTTCTTTTCACAAAAATACTTTTTTTTCATGCTGTGTCCAGAATATCAAAAATTTGAATTGCAAACTTTTGGAACTTTACTGAAAAAGAAGGAATAAGCTTCTTTTTTTAATATAAAAATAAAAACATCAAAATATAATTCTAGAAACTTCAAAAATTTAACATAAGAATTAAAATTTTAAAGCTTCTTAATTTTAAAAATCAAATTTTTAAAAGATTTTAGACATATTTCCAAAAATTTTAAATTTTTGTTAGATTTTTATTTCTTTTCCCCCCAAATAAACGCATATGAAGGATATATGCCCTTATTTTTTGTCTATTAATTACGTTAAACAATCTAATTATGAATAACCACCCTTAGATTACTAAAAAATTATTTGTTTTTTTTAAATATTTTTAGACTTCACTTATGGTGTAATATTATTTAATAATAATAACAATAGGATTGTTTTATTGAAAAATAACTAGTTTTTGATAAATCATATCATTTATGTATAGGTAATTATTTTATTTTACGAAAGATAGGGAAGTATGTGATAAGAAACTCTACTCAAGTGGCTGCTATGTCAACTTGGTTTAACAACACAATATATCAATTTTTTCAGCAGACAATGAGAAAAAATTTTCAATTGCTAGTATTTTAGCTGGAAGAAGAACATGTATAAATTTTGATATAATAAATTCTGTATTGTTTTTACATTGTAATTGAAAATTGGTTAAGATTGATTACATATAAACTTAGAAAATTATACTTTTTTGATTTCTATTTTAAGCCATATTGCCTTTGAATATTAATGAAGCTGGTAGTTATAATATATTTTCCTATATATATTTTCCATAATAAGGTCAATTCCACAAAATTTTTAAAGTCAAAAGAATAGGAAAAGAATTAACACTTTATAATTAATAGGTTTATATTAGGTATTCAATTAAAAGTAGAACTCTGTATTTTACCTATAAATGCTTTCCTTCCTATTTTATGTTTTAAATTTATAGGTTCAATTTTTTTTCTTATAAATTAATGTCTTAATTTGGTAAATTTTTTAAATTTATATGGGTTAATTATTATTTTGGGTGTGGGTCAGCATAATATATTTGAAAGTATCAGCTATATCGATATTAGTATTGATGCATTTCTGATAGTGAGAAAATATAACCAACCCAAAGAATGAAAAAATCAAGGTATTATTATATTGCCTCTGTTCCATTTCTTTTTTAAATAAAAAATATATAGAATATATTGGCCATTAATGAGACTTAACCTGAAATGCCAGGGGTTCAAACTGAACCTGAACCCAGAGAAGAAAACCCTGGTTTTTGGGGAAAAATTTGAACCCAAACTGTACCTGAACCCCATTTATAAAATTTTCAAAACCCCGAACCGAACCTTAGAATTTTATTTGAATCAGGGTTCAACTAGGTTCAGTGTATTTTGTTTAAATTAATATATTTGTATAATTGATACAAATATTAATAATTTACTTGACATTTTACAATATTCAAATTTCCAATTAATTAAAAAACTAGATATAAATTTGGTATAAAAAATAAATTTTTTATTTTCAAAATATAGTTAAAAATCAAAGCATAGTCATGTATCAAACAATATCCAACATAATAATTTTTACTTTGCTTGTTAACTCATTTCCTCTAATTAATAATCTTTAAGAATAAATTTAAAAAATGGCATAAATGAATTTAATTTCTAAAATTTATTAACAATAAACTGAACCTAAACTGTACCTGGGCAAAAATTTTGCTAGGTTCACATCCCTGATGTTAACTATATATAGGTGTATACTATTATGTTGGCTTTAAATATAAAAATATATTATTTTTGTTTCCACAATTTAATCTAATCCTTTTCTGTTATATATAAAAGTAAAAATAATTCCATTTTTATAAATTATTTACACTGGATATTTGGTTGTAATTTGATTGAATATTAGAATCTCCATTTAAGAAATTATTGGGCATTTGTGTTGGCATGTTATTAATAGTAGAGAATTGTTGAAAAAATGGAGGCTTTTGATAATTTGTCTGATAATTGGGCATTTGATTATAATTTAACTGATTGTGAGAATCTCCATTTAAGAAATTTGTAGGCATTTGGGATGGCATGTTATTACTATTTGAATCAAATTGCTTTTGTATAAAATAAAAATAAATATATTATTGTAAATGTTTATACCATCATATTTGGAGGCTTTTGAAAATTGGTATTATATGGCATGGAATTTGGATCAAAATTTCCATTGATATTCCTATAAATTACATTATGCTAAATTTGTGATATATATTATACTCATTAGTGGGAGGTGATAATGCATTCATCATATTTGGTTGATTTTGAAAATTATTATCTAAATTTTAAGGAATAATTTATTTAGAAAATTATTATAAATAAGGAATTACCGTATGGTAAATTATAAGGAGCGGTATTATAATTTTGAGCCATTTATACTAATATTTAAAGAAAAAATTTAAAAACATGCTATAGATTAAAGTGTATAATTATATAAAATAAAAATTGTAGTCAATTAATAATTATTTACAAGTATATTTGATAATTAAACCTCAATATTTTAATTATTGCCACGTATACCACGTTGATTTAAAAATTAGAAAACCCACTTGACATTCTTAAAATAATTATTATACTTTTCTAAGAAATGACATAATATTGAAAGATGTCATCATTTAATAAAGTAAAATTCTAACTTTGTTCCTTATAAAAAATAAAAATGTAATCGTAGGAAAAGCAAGTGTTGTAGATATTAATAATATATGTATATTTAGATAAAATATAATATTATGTTAAAAAAATGTCAATCATATGTTTTATTGATTGTGGAATTAAGAATATATTATTGATTCATTTTTGATGAATATTGATTCGTGATGAAATATATTTTTCTTTTGTTTTTATTAAATTCAAATAAAATATAGTGTGTAAATTATGTCTCCAACTATTAATTAAATTCGACAATTATTAAATTTATACAATTATTAAAATAAGTATTTGCATCTACAATACTACATTGATACAAGATCGTTATCTTGTAATTTATATCATTTAAATAAGATATTTATTGCTGCAAGTATTATTTTTTTCGAAAAGTTCTTGTACCTTTTTCATTTCCGTTGTGAGTATTCATTTCGTTTAAATTTGCATATTATAATTATATAAATTATATTTTGTGAGTACGTAAATTTATAAGATTAATTTGAATATTATGAATGAAGTTAGATAATTTAATATGATTGTTCAAGCGTTTTTATATATTTTTAGTATGAAATAGCTCAGGTGCGTAGCCAGCGGTGAGGGTGGAAGAGGGGGATAGCTCTGCCTTTAGCAAGAATTTTTGAAAAAATATAAAAGGGCTTCATGAATTGTGAATCGCAAATTATTCTATTTCAAATGGGTTATATTCTATTCTAAATATTAGCAAAAATTAAAATTAACCTTTTACAAAAAATCCACAAAGTCCATCCTTCCCATTAAGCTTTCTTTCTTTTTTTCTTTATTCCAAAAATCCAGCTCGCCTTCCGATCTGCCCCACTTTTCTTATTCCAGGAAATTCTCACCCAAATAGAATAAACAATCAAAGTCTCTTTAGAAGGCATCCTCAATTTCTTGGATGCAGGCCTCCTTGCCTTCGATATTTGGGGGTCTTGGCCTAAGATCACCTGGGCCACTCAGCCTTGTTGTCTTTTAAGCCTCAGAATCAAGCTGCTGCTTAATTATTCTATCACTTAGCAATAACTCCACCCCCACGCCCTAATCTGGAATGAGGATTCCCTTTCTGCTCCAATCCCAACATCAAGAAAGCAACATGAATGGGATCTACTCTAAATACGCCACTCCGTTGAATATTTAATATCGAGTGCTGCGTCTAAGGGATTCCCATCAATTCTTTCACATATCACCCATTTTAGTTGATAAATCCTTAACTGTTGATCATCTCTATCTCCCACAACAACTGTTCCACAACTTTTACCTTCCTTATAGGGTTACGAATGGTAAGAAGCTTTGCCCAGCTCAAACTTAGGACTCCTCCTAACAAACGAAGAATTACGCATTGCAATAGGTCTCCGTCTCGGTTGTAAAATACTGGTCAACTCTGCATGCACTTTATATTTCCACCCCATAGATTGTTTAGGACATCACCCTCTTCATAGTCGATTCTCTAAAGGTAGACACTCTCGGCGCAGTGCAGTTAACGGCACCATTCTCCGCGCTCTACGCTCAGTTCAAATCCCGCAACCCTCGAACCCTGTGGCCTCTCAACTAAAAATAGTATCCGGAAAGATGCTGACCTTAATATCTTCCAGTTATTGAACTCCTTTAGCATGGGATTACTGCAACGACCTATTCGATCCCTCATTAAGTAACAACATATTTATGCTAGCGGAAAACTCTAAAATTACCAAATACATTTCCCTAATCAATTGCAATCTTATACCAATTGTATCCGACAAAACCGGTTTTTTCGGCAATCAAACCCTAACCTTTTCAAATCCCTTTATAAAAAAATTCGCGCAATCACTGGTGACCCACAGGAAGGCTTCTATCACCGACAGCGTGTATCTATTGATATTTGCAGATCTAATTGTATTGCCATCCACGGCTCCCTTTTTCGACCTCCTCCCTCCCAATATATAATTTATTATATTAATTATATACAATTTACATTTTGTTCATTTTAAAAATGCTATTTAAACATTAATGATATAAAATTAATTTAATATATTAAATATGAAAACAAATAAATGTCACTATAATTTAAATATTTATTTCTTGTATATTAATATTTTATCTCACCAAAATTCTTATATTTTTTCTACCTTAAACATTATTGGATATAAGAAAATTTTATCAACAAAAATTCTATTTAATTTATCTTTACCAAGATGGAGCCTTCGACATCAAACTGTTACAGTATTCTTTGAATCTGGAAGAATATATATTTATTATATTAGAAAAATATCAGTATCACCTGAAACAGATATTTCATCTGAAGCTGATATATTAGATTTAGCCTAAGTGCCTTCATTGAAATGCACTAATAAATTATTTATTACACAACTATTTTATTCAATATTTATTAAAAAAACATACTTGGCTGAAGTTATGAGATCGCGAATATTATTATATTACAACTTAGAAAACCAAAAAATAATATCGACCAGAAATTTATCGAGATTTATATGATTGCTGAGGTGAAAGCAAAATTATATAATTTTGGGATTTACATGCCTCGACCTTCATCGACAAACAAATCATTCCATTATAAATGCGGAATTAATTGAGGATTACTATAAAGTTATTCCACCTTCGGATTTATTCAAATCAATCACGATTTGTGATTTATCTTCCATCCGATTTACAAATATTATATCTTATCCCTCTATTGCGCAACATATCGATAAATGATATAATTTTTAAAAAGAACTTATGTTTGTCTTTATAGAGCCCTTAATAAACCAAAAAAAATTTTTAAAAAAAAATTTGAAACCGTATAAAATTTTTTAGTGTGTGTATTTAAATCAATTGCATATTATTATGACATTAATTTAAATATACAATACGTGTAAAAAGTATTATATTTTTTAAATTTAAAACCTATTACAAAATAAAGGCGTATAATTTTATTATTTAAATAATATTATAGAACAAATTATTAATTTAAATGAAATAATTTAAAACAATCGTTTTTTGAATTAAAACATTATGATACACCACATTTGGTACAAATCACTTTCATAACAATTTACACCCAAGGTTTTTGCATGGCGCCTTTTTACTATATTTTTGTCAATGTGTATTAAATCCTGTCTTAACTATTTCTGCGGAATAAGACTTGTTGGGCCCTTGCGAAATTTTTCTTTATATATGGTCTCAATTGATATTCGTTTTTTTTTCCGCCAACGCTCAAATATTTGTTACTACATTATAAAGTATATCTTCTATTGAAATTTTAAATGTTAATAATGCCATCTGTTTTTTTACCGGTAATTTTAAAGCTACAAAATCACGTCTATGCATTATCCAAGTATTTGTGAGCATGATATCAAGTATATGGAACACAATACGATGTTACCATTTACGTCATCTTATGTGAATCGATATAAAGCAATCAATGAATCAATTAAATCTACACCTCCAATATTTTTATTGTTAACTTTTATAGCTGCTGGACACAGAATTTTAATTTTCCGTCGTTCCTTTCCATCAAACCATTAACAATCTCCAACAGGGTAACTACCTATATACGTACTAGAATAATTACAGATCTATTATCATGCCATTTAGTAGCTTGTAATTCAATGCCATTTATTATATTGCCTTCCTCTCGATAAAAAATCCACGCTCCATCTTTTTGAATTCTTTTTCAGTTCGAAACTGGCACTTATAAATTCTATCAGCTCTCGCTGTAGCAATACTACAAATTCCCTTTTAAGAGGGTAATACTTAAAGTTCTAAACTACAGAACCAATTATCAAATCACATTTTAAAATAGGAATGTAGTGGTGCATTTACCAATAGTTGAAATACCGCCCGCTTGCTACAATAATAGGATATCCATTTACCTGTTCAATTTTTCCCGTATATATTTCGAAATCGTAAACCAGCCCTTCATCACTACATAATAGAAATGCTTTGTCTCCCCATTCTTTTTTGGTTTTTGAAGATTGTATTATTTTATCATACAATTTCCTTTATATGGAATAATTTGTTCGTCAACATCGTATTTCTTTTTAAAAATTTAGAAAATCTCGAGAAGAGGCCGGATTTTATATAAAGGATCAAAATTTGTTGAATCTGGAGTTGGTGTAAAGGCATTATCATTAAAAAGGAGAGGCGCTTTTATTTTTTCCCATCTTTTCCTGGCACATTACATTAGCAACTGATGGTTGCCTTGTATTTGCTGACCAATATAGTCTTGATCTTGGAAGCTTTATAATGGACATATGTTATATCAATTATCTTCTCCAGAAATTTCATATAGTAGGAGGTTGGGTTCATAATATTTATTGAAATATATTCTTTTCCCTTCCATATTTAAATCATCATGGGCTTATTGTTTTTAGAATCTTTCCATTTAATTTTTCTATAATCTTTCTGAGTCATTATTGTCTGCTCATCACTATCTGAATCATCTAAATATATTTTTAAAAAATTATAATTTATAATTTCCCTATAGAATCGACATCTGTTGATCTTGAATCAAGAATTTCCTCATCTGATTAACCACTAAGGTTAGAATTAGAACTATCTTCTGGAATACAATACTAAACATAAATTCTGGGGATATAGTTAGACTAGAGAATCAAATTACATATAAAAATTATAATAGGAATTAAAAATTATGATGTTACACAAGTGGAAGGCGTGGCTCAATGGTACAGATCTAAATTTATGAGCCAACTAGAATGAAATGAGGGTAGAGGTTAATGAATCGCCAGATATGGGGCATGGTTCATGGACATGAGTAGGCCAAAATTTGGGCCCGGCTTGAATTTACAAATTTTATTCTCAATCCCAGTCCTGTTAGAATTCATTTTAAAATCTTTTGAATGGGTCCTAATTTTATTTTTGATACTAGAAAATTTCTTTTGT